GGCTACTGTGCCATATTTACCTTGGTGCAGCAGCCAGCCTTTCTGCATCTGCAGTTCTCACAGGGGTGGTGGCTGGAATGGATGGATGAAGTGCCTGATTGCAGCCTTGGCACACTCAAGCAAACAAGCTTCTCATATTCTTTTGTTTGCTTAACAAATCATGTAGGACAAATTAAAGCAGCCGGCCAAACATGCCTCAGTACTACCCCAGGGTGCAGTCCCCATATTCATGCATGGGCACACTCTCCATTGTGACCCTTTGCAATTTGTCTAATGAACTTATTTTCCTTATCCTATGTGCCAGATGTACTGTAAGCATTTATGACCAAAATTCAAATTCCCTGCAGAAGATAAACTCACATACTTCAAAATAATCCAATTTTAAATATTCATTTTCTCTCAGTTTGGGGGAGGATAAATGAGTAAATTTTCAGCCCCACATCTTGATTTCAACCAGTTATAACTATTCCATGCTGGAAGGTAAATTGAACGAGGCACAGAGTGTATTTTTCAGTTACTTGGTGTAGATGACATTTAATGAGTATTTATTATAAAATAACAAGCTGTCAAATCTCTCCCATTCAGAATCCACAAAATCATTTTGTATTGATACATCATTTAAGCACTTGATAATCAAACTGGTTTCCCAAATAGTGACGTCCTTGGTTCATTAAAGAGTCCCCAGGAGAAAGGAAAGAATCCATGAGAATATTTAAAGCAATTTTTCCATTGTCTACAGAAATAACAAAAAAATCTGCCAAGATCACCTGGCAATCTTGTTGGATATGTAGATTCCCATAGACTCAGATTAGTCAGTTACCCCATTAGAATGAATCAATTGTATACCTGTAGAAACATTTTCCCCCTTTCTCATCAGCATTATTTATTCATAAAGATATAACCTCGCTTAACTTTTTATGTGGAAGAAAATTTATTCTAAAACAATAGCTTTAAAACATATTTTGAAATCTGTCATGGCAATTCCAATTCCTGCTTTATGGAGCCAGAAAGGGGAGCTACATGGGTATAAAAAAAATCTACCCCCTCCAAGATCTATAGCTGATTCAAAACTATAGTATCTTCTTACATCTATTTTTTTGAATTTATTTATTCTTTTTTGGCACTTGGTTGTTTCTCTTTATTTTTATCTCAGGTGTATAATTGAATAGTTTATATTTTATTGCTTCTCAATTCAGTGGATCTGGGCTGGATACTTCATTTCTGGGCTGTATACTTCATTTCTTATCAAGGTATAGGTAGTATACACCTCATATTGTTTTCTCCCAAAGGTTTCAACTGCTCAATTTTCACTATAATTCAAACATGTATTCTTTATAGAGCTGGTTGTTGCATAGGAATTTTACAGTGTATCCTTATCCTTCTCCATTTATTCTTTCCGACTTGTCTCCATTATATATCCATCTACAGTTAAAGCAACTTCTATGTTATTTTGTATTTGGGAAACTTTATTTGATTTATTTTCACTTTTTTTCCCCTTTATATCTATTTCTTCTTAATAAAATATAGTTTTATGCTTTGAAAATACATCACATATTATCTATTTAAAATATAGTGTTTTCATATGAGGACTCATATGATCTAGACTATTCAGGTGACCTGAGGAATCCTGTCTGACCACATTTTCAGCATCTGGCTTGTTGTATGTGCCGTGTGTGTGTGTGTGTGTGTGTGTGTGTGTGTGCGCATATAATTAAAACAATTTTGTTAAAGTGTTGAATGACGGTGGACCCTTGGAGCAAGAACAAGTAAATGTACAAAAATATAGTCTAATGGTTAACATATCCGAAATTATTTTACTGAAAATAGAGCAACCAGTCCTAAGATTGGATGAAAGCAGGAATTAGCGCTATGTATCTACTATAGGCCTGACAAGTATTGTACAGAATATAAGAAAGAAGTCGTGGATGTCAAATGTAACACTTGTATTAATTAATAGTCTTATTCAATATTTGAAATTACTTCTCACAGATTATCATTGCATTATACATGAGCACAAACAACAAGGAAAATCAAATTATAATTGAATATATAGTTACCAATGTCAATTTTTTTAGAGTCAGGAAACGTTCCCTTTATCTTTGTTTTCATTTGTTTTTTGTACACTAGAAATACCTTTGTATTCATCTGTCATTCTTAAAACAATTTGATGTTTGTCATGAGACACAATTGTTTTTCTTTTTAATCCAAGATGAATAACTTTTCATAGAGTTTAGTGTGGGATCACTTTTAAACTACTTTTTTTCTCATGCTGATTTTCCCTCTTCTTTTTCAAATGTGAGGTGAACATAGTAGAACAAAACAAATGATAAAGACAGTTCTTTAATTTTTGCATGGCATTTGTTTACAATGAACTATTTTCAAATCTAAGTTCAAAATTATTACATTGTTTATTTACAGCCATTTTTTTATAGTAATACAAGCTGCCCATGAATGTAAAGACTAGAATATTTTGTACAATTTATTTGATATGAAAGAAGTTTATTTGAAGCCTGAAGCTATGTATGGTGTACTTTCTTTTAGAGTTGATCTCTCTTATGTTTTCCTCATTAATACGTTTGTCTAAAAAGTGGTGAATCATTTATAAAATATAATTTTATATATGTATATTTTCTTTTTTGGAAAGGATTACAGAAGTTTATCATTTACCAATCATGGTATCTAGTAAACATGAGTATATATATTCTCAAATATATGTTGATTGATTAAATTATCTCAGGGGCTCAATAGGTATTGCCTTAGAAAAAATCAGCAATTACTGCATTTCTTTGTCAGATACGAAGGTATATCAGTGCTCTTAAATGATTTTCTCCATCTATAGCATAAAATTATTTTTTTGTGTGTATTTTGGTTGGTTTAAACTTTATGTTTGACAAAATAAAACGTATTGAAAAGAAAAATGGATGTGGAAAATTAACAGAATAAATATATGTAGCGTTTTCATGCTTATACATAAATTGCTTGCTAATCATCAACTTAGAGTAATAGAAAAGGGCCATCCTGATTTCCTCAACGTCATCATATTTTGGGACAATTGAAAATTATTCCAAATGCATATTCTGATGTTTGGATGCTTACATATTTACTTCATGATGTGACTATGTTTATAAAATAGTTTTAAATTAAAAATACAAAAATTGTGTTTTATTTAAGAAGACTAGTTTGCATCTGTTGCATCTATTACAGTGTCTACCAACCAAAGTAATATGACAACTATATTATTCAACATAATTTCAGACAGTTCATAAAATGACATAAGGAGGAGCATAAGGAATAAAAGACAAGTAAGATGTAGTTTTCTTTTTTTAGAAGTGGGCCATCATCATTCTTTGAACAGGACATTTGTTTGCACAGCTCTAAATTAGCCATGTTGTGTTAATTTAATATTCATTGAATAAATATATGTAAATAAGCATAGAAAAGGGATGCTTCTTTCTCAGGCATCACTGTGTATTGATTAGAAAAAAAAGTCTTTGAAATGATGCTGAGTGTGTTGGATTTCTAGAGATCGTGCTGTAGAATGTAAAACTTTTAGATTCTGAGTTCACGTTGTACTTTTTTCTAATATTCCTACAAGATTCCTTCAATAGCATTTACAACTTATTCCTAAAATATTTGGTTAAATTAACAAAATTCAATTTGAAATAAACCAAACTGAATAATTATACAAGATATAACTGTTTGTAAAACATACAAATACCAACATTTACTTTCCTTTGTTAAAAATTTTGTAATGTTCCATGTGATTATATCTTTTCAGTAGAATAAAGTCATATTGATACAAGGAGTTGCATACTTTATATTACATTAGATATTATGAGGCACAATGCATGCTTGTGTTTGGCAATGCAAGTTATGCTTTTAAAAAATGAATTAGATCTTGTAGTATGGGGAGAAAGAGTAGATGTAAGAGCAATATTTCTTTATGGACATCTGTTAAACATATAATACTGTCATGTACTATGATGGGGCTGATGTTCTACCCTACTTGTAAGTTAACAACTTGGCTTCATGGAATATAGCTTGAGACTCCTTTGTCAGAGATGAAGGATTTATTACTCACAGCACAGAAGGCAATATGAATTTTATGTTTGTATTAGTTTACTTTGGCCCCAGTCTCCCAAGTGAAGTGGAAGAGGACAAAAGTGGATGCTGAATACACAGTGGGTTTGTGTTAAAACTGAGTAACCCTGAGCTTAGGAAACCCAAGTTCATTATCAGATTCTGCAAGCAAGCCTGCCCAAACTTTGCCCTGGAGAAAGACATTATCTTTATTACACTGAACAGGAGACAAGTCTTTCCTTTATTCCAATGGGAGATAATATCTCCATCTTCCAAAATTCTTTGCTATACGGACATCCTTGAAAGGGTACTTTGAAGTTGTCAGTGTCTCTGCAGAAATGCAAGAGACCCCTGGAGAAATGTCTTTCAGCAATATCCACCTCACATTTCTACACTGCATTACCTCTGGTGAATCTTTCATGGGAATGTAAATTACTCTGATTAATCTGATTGACAAGGATTGGGACCAGATTTGTTTCATGCAGTATATAATTAAGGCCACTATCAACAAGACTAGAACCAGCAAGATGAGTCAACCTGCAATGTTGACTTCAGCCTTCCCCTGCAGAGTACCAGTATCAACTTATTGAACAAATGCTATACACTATTAGGGTCTAACTCAGAGAGAAAGGTGATTGATTATCTTTTTAAGTTTCTGTATTAGCCTTTCCATTTAGCCTAAGGCATTAATCTAGTTAGAGCAAGATGTACAGGGTTTAACTTGGCCCATGAAGAGGCCATCTGAGCAATACTATAATCTCTATCTATATTGTCTAAGCAATCAAAGCTGACCTGAATAACTTCCACAGCCTAGAGTGTCATTGATTGCTTCAGCTAAAATCAGGGACAAATTTTGTGTTCACTTTCTTAATTGAACAACTTCTATTGCAGGGAAAACTGCCTGCAGCATACACATAAATAAGGGCAGCCTCATCTGGGAGAAATTTCTTCAGTCATTTGAGAGCTACATAATCTGCTTGTAAGTTGCTTATGAGCTCCCCTCAGGTTAAAGTCACTGTGTTTCAGAAGACAGGAGAGTTTATGCCTGGCTTCCACATAAGATGTACAATTCTGGGAGCACATATATACACCTAGAAAGTGGTGTTTACAATTATTGGGCCTCCCCCCCTCCAATGGGACTTATATTAGACAGGGGGCACAGTTGGAAAGTGTCTCTAATGTGGCCTTGCAACACGCTGGTAAGTCTTAGGGTCCCCCAATTCAGTTTAAATAATTGAGTCTAATCCTTGTTTTTGTTTGCTGCCTGAAAACAGTTAATCTAATGTGTCATTTGTCCGCGCCACCAGCTAGGTGGCCTTCTTTTCACACGTGTGGAATAATGGAGAGTGAAAGTGTGGAAGATCTGGAAGTGTTTTGCACAAGAGGTACAGAAGCTGGAGAGATTTCCTGAATTTTTTGATAACCCTTTCAGTAAGGTTAAAGGGAATGGCAAGCAAGGCATGGCCAGAATTATCTGGAGGAGCATTGCAGACCAAGCAGTTGATTAAATTTGTGATGCTTGCAAGTTTGGGAATTCAGCTTGGGAGAGTGCTACCAGAGTATTTCCCTTCATGAACAAGGCTGCAGGGGCAGTACTAAAAGATCATCAGTGACAAAAGATCATTAATGCTTCCTCTTCCTCATTCCTCCCAGCGTCTAAGCTGTCCTCTCCCCAGTGGAAATGTGTTGCTCTCCCTATATACACACAGAACGTGTATGCACCATTAGAGTAATTATAACTTTACCTTTTGTCCACTTATTTCCTACCGACACACAGACATTTCATTCAGAAGAGTGAAGTGCAGGAGACAAGGGCATTTATATAGAAATTAATGAAGTGTTCTTGGATGTAGAAATATGTAAAATAGTCCTTCACCTTTGAGAACGTAGAATGGGGCAGCCATTCAGGTGAACAGTCTGGCACATCTCAGTCTAATTAATTTTACTGATACCCTGTATCCTAGCAATTGTGATCCTAGATATATATTCCACTCTCTCCTCTCCTCTCCCACCAAACTTCTTCTACAGTTCAATAATGGGACATGCATTACAATGTCTATTAAATTATCTGTGCTGTCAACAAGATGGAGAAAATGTCTGTGTCCTTTACTGGATTAGAGGATAGTTAAATGAAATGTAAGTACAACATGAGTTCTGTGCCCCAAATAGAAACAGTAGATTAGATGGACAGAGGAACATAGATAAATATTTTTAAGTTTATATAAAAAAAGAATTGTATATATATATATATATATATATATATATATATATGGAATGTGTAATTATATATAAGACATATATGTGTGTGTGTGTCACAATATGTTTCCATGAATCAAAATATATACACATAAAACAGGGAAATTGGAAATAATATTAGGGATATCTAAATCTATACTGGATGCAGGATATAAAGGAGTGGAAGAGGAAAAGTTTAAGTTTACATTGAAACTGAATTTTAAAGGAATAATATAGGCTTTGTTCACTCATTAACCCGTAGTCCACCTAATTCTTAATAAGAATGAGAATGATATAAATAATTAAGCTTTAAAATGCACTATGAGACTTGGGACAATTCTGTTGTTCCCCCTTCCTTTGTGGATTCTAAACTGACACTCTAAGATTTGCTATCTAATACATAAAGTATAAATTCTGTTATATTTGTGGACAAAACAGATAATGCAAGCAATTACAGTGGATATTAAGGGGGCAAAATTTGTAGAGGATTGTGTTTCTGTTGGATTGAACATCCTCCAGAGCTTCCTGGGTGTAATCTGAAACCAGCCTGCATATACAGAAGGCAAGGAGAGACCAATGAAAGAGGCAGAGTACTCTAGATTGGTAGGTGGCAGGTTTTTTTCTAATTTTTAAAAATTGAAGTATAGTTGATTTACAATTTTAAATTAGTTTCAGGTGTACAGCATAGTTATTCAATATTTTTATAGGTTATACTCCATTTAAAGTTATTATAAAATATGACCAAATCCTCTGTGCTTTACAATATATCCTTGTAGGTTAATTATTTTATACAGCATAGTTTGTACCTCTTAATCCTCTACCTCCATCTTATCCCTCACCCCTTCTCTCTCAGCACTGGTAACCACTAGCTTGTTCTCTGTTATCTGTGAGTATGTTTCTTTTTTGTTATATTTATGCATTTGTTTTATTTTTTACATTCCACATGTAAGTGATAATGTAGAGTATTTGTCTTTCTCTGTCTGACTCATTTCACTAGCATAATACCCTCCAGTTATATCCAAGTTTTTGCAAGAGGCAAAATTTCATTCTTTTTGTGGCTGAACAATATTCTATTGTGTGTGTGTGTATATATATATATATACACATGTATATATATACATGTGTATATATATATATACACCACATTCTCTCATTCATCGGTTGATGGACATTTAGATTGCTTGCATATCTTGGCTATTGTAATTAATACTGTTATGAACATTGGGGTGCATGTATCTTTTTAAATTAATGGTTTCCTTTTCTTCAGATATATACCCAGGAGGGGAATTGCTGGATCATATGGTATTTCTAGTTTTAGATTTTTTGAGAAACCTCCATACTGTTTTCCATAGAGGCTGAATCAATTTACATTCCCAGCAGCAGTGTACTAGGGTCCCTGAATCTCTGCATCCTCACCAACATTTTGTTATTTGTGGTCTTTTTGTTGATAACTTGATGTGGTCTTTTCATGTAAGGTGATATCTCATTATGGTTTTAATTTGCATTTCTATGATGATTAGCGATGTTGCACATCATTTCATATGCCTGTTGACCATCTGTGTGTCTTCTTAGAAAAATGTCTAATCTATTCTTCTGTACATTTTTTAATTGGGGTGTTTTTCTTTTTTTGATGTTGAGTGTACGAGATGTTTATATATTTTGGGTATTAACCCCTTATTGGTCATATCATTTACAAATATTTTCTCCCATTCAGTAGGTAGTCTTTTTGATTTGTTGATGGTTTCCTTTGCTGTGTAAAAACTTTTAAGTTTAATTGGGTCCCATTTGTTTATTATGCTTTTGTTTCTTTTGCCTTAGGAGACATTTCTAAAAAAATGTATTGCTATGATTTATGTCAATGTGTGTTCTGCCTATGTTTCCTTCTAGGAGTTTTATGGTTTCTGTGCTTACAGTTAGGTCTTTAATCCATTTTGAGTTTACTTTTGTATATGGTATGAGAAAATGTTCTACTTTCATTCTTTTATATGTAGCTGTTCCATTTTCCTAGCACTAGTTATTGAAGAGAATGTCTTTTCTCTATTTTATATTCTTGTCTCTTTTGTCATAGATTAATTGACCATAACTGTGGGTTTATTTTTGGGCTCTTTATTCTGTTTCATTGATCTATGTGTCTATTTTTGTGACAGCACCATACTGTTCTGATTACTGTAACTTTGTAGTATAGTCTGAAGTCACAGAGAGTGATACCTCCAACTTTGTTCTTTTTTCTCAAGATTGCCTTGGCAATTCAGGGTATTTTGTGTTTCCATATAAATTTTAGGATTATTTGTTCTAGTTCTGTGAAAATGTTATGGGTATTTTAATAGGGATTGTGTTAAATCTGTAGATTGCTTTGGCTAATATAGACATTTTAACTATATTAATTCTTCCAACCTATGAATATTGGATATCTTTCCATTTTTTGGTATCATCTTCAATTTTCTTCATCAGTGTTTTTTTATAGTTTTGAGATCATAGGTCTTTCACCTCCTTAGTTAAGTTTATTCCTAGGTATTTTATTCTTTTTGAAGTATTGTTATTTTATTTTTATTTTAAACATTAATGTACTTTTTTATTGAAGTATAATTAATTTACAGTGTTGTGATAGTTTCAGGTATTTGGCAAAGTGATATATATATATCTTTTCATATTCTTTACCATTATAGGTTATTACAGGATATTGAATATATTTCCCTGTGCTGTATAGTAGGCCCTTGCTGTTTATCTATTTTTATATATAATAGTGTGTATCTGTTAATCCCAAACTACTAATTTATCCCTCCCCCGCTTTCCCCTTTGATAACCATAAGTTTGTTTTCTATCTGTGAGTCTATTTTTATTTTGTAAATAAGTTAATTTGTATCATTTTTTTAGAATCCACATATGTGATATAATATAATTTGTCTTTCTCTGACTTACTTCACTTAGTATGATAATCTCTAAGTCCATCCATGTTTCTGCAAATGGTATTATTTCACTCTGTTTTTTAAGATTGAGTAATATTCTATTGTGTGTGTGTATACACACATATATATATTATCACATTGTCTTTATCCATTCATCTGTCGATGGACATTTAAGTTGCTTCTGTGTCTTGGCTGTTGGAAATAGTTCTGCTGTGAACATTAGGGTACAGGTATCTTTTCAAATCAGTGTTTTCATCTTTTCTGGATATATGCCCAGGAGTGGAATTGCTGGCTCCTATGGTAACTCTGTTTTTAAAGGAACCTCCATACTGTTCTCCATAGTGGCTGTTATCAATTTACATTCCCACCAACAGTGCAAGAGGGTTCTCTTTTCTCTACACCTCTCCAACATTTACTGTTTGTACATTTTTTGATGAAGGCCATTCTGACCAGTGTGAGGTGATACCTCATTTCAGTTTTGATTTGCATTTCTTAGAGCTACTTTTGACATATTTCATAGATATTGACAAGCTGTGTTTTTAGTTTCATGTGTCTCGAAGTGTTTTCTGATTTCCTCTTTGATCTTTTCATTGACCCATTGGTTTTTTAGCAGCATGTTGTTTAGTCTCCACATGTTTGTGTTTTTCCCATTTTTCTTTCCATAACTGATTTCTAGTTTCATACTGCTGTGGTCAGAAAAAAATGCTTGATGTTATTTCTATCCTCTTAAATTTGTTGATACTTGTTTTGGGGCTTAGAATGTGATCTATCCTGGAGAATATTCCATGTGTACTTGAAAAAATATGTATTATGCTGTTTTTGATCTATTAAGTTCATA